TATATTTATTTATTTATTTATTTATTTTATTTTATTTTTTTGGAAATGTCATATTATCAAGTCAAATGGGTTGACAATGCCGTTTTATGTTGACTTTAATGTCTATTTTGCTGCTAGTGTTTTATCTGCAACTCTTTTCTTCTCAGATTAGTCAAAAGACTTCCTCTTAGATGCTTTGTGCAGATTTTCTAAGAGAAGAAAGAGCCTTTTCTCCATCTCTTAGCTGTTGATCTCTCATCACCTGCCTTTTAAAATTCATGTGAAGAATCAGAGACAGGAACACACTTCTTATTGTAATGTATTCATTAAGGCTCAGTTCCAAGTTCAGGCTAGTGTGATGATATAAGCCTGCCTTGCTCGCAAATGTGTCCACTCAATGGCAAACAATTTTTTTTTTTTTTTCAAAAACATGCAGCCTTGGTGAGCATAACATTGCAAAAACTTAACAACGTCAAACTTCTGAACAACAATATTATATTCTTAGAGGAAGGCAGAGCAGAATTAAATAATTAAACTACATACCGTACTTTTAAGGCATGGTTTTAAAAATGGTCATGTAAAACCTTTACTAACAGAGAAAGAAATGAACTGCCTCAAAAGTGTTAAAAATGGTATACTTCATAGCTGTATTCAAGTCTCTAATGCTTAGCTAAAAAGCAAGGAAATAGTGTTTTCAAATGTGGTGGTTGATGTGCTGCATATGTGAAGCTGCGGCTGCAGAGGCGGCACGTCTGCATGTAGTTGTAGTGTATCTGTATCATAGAGACAGGCATTGCATCCATCAGTGTGACAGCACTTAAGTTGCATAAGCTGCATTATTTAATACACCGCAATGTCAAAAACTGTGACTGACATGAGCAGAAGGCAGGTATGTGGAGTTTGTGCATACATGTTATAGAGCACATGTTGCTGAGATAGGTTAGCTAAAGTCGAAATATTTATAACTAGCTACCTGAATAATAACAGCTAGTTGAATGGCACTACCTCCCCCTCGAGTATTGAGATACACTGGCAGCCAAAGGTTTGGAATAGTTACATGTATTTACATGTCTTTTAATAAATTACATTTTAAAATATATTAAAATAGAAAACAGGTATTTTTAATTGTAATAATATTTCACAATATTACTTTTTACTGTATTTTTGATCAAATAAATACAGGCTTGGTGAGCATAAGAGACATCTTTCAAAAACACTAAAATATCTTTTATTTTAAACTTTTGTCCTCCACTGTTGTTACTGCACGTACAGATATTTGAAGTGTTTGCATTTATGTTTGTGTACTTGAGTTGAGCGTGTTTCTGCCCTAATGTGTGATAGATTGCTAATTGTACTTCCTCTGTGTGTATATGTATATGTGTTTGTTCAGTGCATGGAGGTTGGAGCGAGTGGAGTAAGTGGTCGCCATGCGGAGCCGACTGCACCATGTGGAGGAGCAGGGAATGTACCCAACCTACACCCAGCACCGGTGGGAAGGACTGCCAGGGCCTGGATCTTCAATCCCTCAACTGCACCAGTGAGCAGTGCCCACAGAGTGAGTACCACCATCTCTGTCCCTTGATTAATCAATCGATTAAAACACAGGCTTCCTTTATTGATCACTAAATGTGATGTGAAGCCTGGAATGCATCAGTGAGAGCAGTGGTGTATTGTAACGAAGTAATAACAGATGGTTAATTTTCCACTCAAGTCGAGTCTGGGGCGTGCGATACAGCATCGTCTGCGATAATATGGTAAGTGTCGTAATGATGTGCGATCTGACATTATCAGTATATCACAGAGAGTGCACGCACATGATTTATTAGTCTATTAAAACTCAAAATTCAACACATTCTAAATTGTAGATGGCAAAAATGCTTTTGTATGCTTTTTTATGTTTATATAATTTAATATAGTTAACTTAATCTATATCACACAACGAGTAGCCTACCGTTTTTCTGCAAATATCAGCATGAACACATTTAATAATCATTTTATACAAGTTCAGTAAAGCAATAAGTGACTTACATTTTAGACATAATATTGCTTGTTTTTGCTCAATTTTGCCAACGAAAATAGTTCCAAAGATCACAGCACTGTTTTGCGTCTCTGAGCAATGGACGGTGTTTACTTATTGAATGAATCAGCTTTTTGAACTAATCGGTTGATAAAAATGATTCAGTGAAATCTGAATTCAGTGATTCAGATTTGTTCCTGAATTAATCAGTCATTTGAATGAATCGGTTGAATCTCAATGACTCACTCATTAACAGTCACTTGCTGCCACCTACTGGCGGTTTTAATTTCACATTTAGACTATTTTGTTCATGTTTTCAATTATTTCAAATATCAGCATTCAACGTTAAAAACAAAACATTATTTATCCATCTGTAACTGCAGGTTAAATGGATCAATGTCCCCTCTGAGATACATAAACTGTGTAAATACATCTAAATCCTATTTCAGATACAGATTCCAGAAATGTTTTCTTACGTTGGAATGAAAGACACTAAGTACTTGATGAAGTGCTTCTTATTCTTACCCAAAAATACAAAATGGAAGAAAGAGTTAAAACTGAACACAATCTTGCTACTCAAGCCATGTATGAATTTTTTTTATATATATTTATTTGCTCCTTTTCCATTTTGCATTTACTTGTACTTTTACGTTCAGTGCTTAAGTATGTTTAAGATTTAAAAAATACTTTTCATACCCAAGTACAATAAATATCACATACTTTAAGACTTTTACTCAAGTAATATTCTAAACGGTGACTTCAACTTCTACCGAAGTCATTTTCTGGTAAGATATCTGCACTTTTACTTGAGTATGGCTTTCAGGTACTTTATACACCACTGAGTGAGAGTCCCATTAACTAGCAGACAACGGGAGGGAAGAATCTGGGAAGGGCACCTTGGAGGTCTACATTAACGCACTTTGCTTAGTATTTCAGGCAGGGTTTGTGTATCGTTGGGTCATGTTTTTTGCAGGAAGGTCACTTTTCCAGATCAGAGATTCTTGAGTTGTCAAAGGTCTTGATGTCCCCTGGGTTATGTCCCCTCTGTTTATTTTCCAGCTTTTCTTTCCGCACACAACCTTTCCTGTTCCTGTTTTTCGTCTGTTCTTTTTATGATTTTAAACCTCTCAGTCCTGCAGCCGCTGTTGCCATAGTACCACAGCAGCACTGAAATGGGCGTCCTCTGGAGCAGCAGTGTTATTGCCGTTCTTCTGATGATTGTTTTTGATATCAGAGCTTCTGGTGGCCGTTATCAACTGTTTGTGCGAGAAACGATTGGTTCAAACAAATGCCAGAGGGCAGACTGTGGAGAAGTCACAGCTTTGTGTGATTTCAGTTTTGTGTGGGGCAGAAGAGCTTCTAGAGCATATGGTTTAATGTGCTTTCACAGCTCTACATTCTTTATGTGCTAAAAGTGTTGCAACTTGAAAAATCCTACTTGAAATATGACTTTTAAATCTTGAATAGTTTGTGTTGACCAGAAAGTTTAAAATGCTGAAATTGGAATGAATGTATTTGTTTGTGTACTATAATGCATCACCAGAAGTTTAGGGTTGGTAAGATTTTATGTTTTTCTCTTATGATCACAAAGGCTGGATTTAAATGAAAATGAAGTATAAAAGCATATAGTATACAAAAACATGATTCATCAGAAATCATTCTATTATGCAGATTTGCTGCTCAAAAACATTTCTTATTATTAATGTTAAAAAATTAATTTTGTGCTGCTTAATATTCTTGTGGAAACATGATACTTTGGAAACCATGATTCTTTGATAAATGTAAAAGTTTAAAAATCACAGCATTTATTTAAAAAAATGTTTAAAATGTTAAAAATTGGTATAAAAAAATTGTTACATTACAAAATGTCTTTATTGTTGCTTTTGAGCAATTTAATGCATCTTCCGTACCCACTGTAAATTTAAGGGGGTCTGAATACTTTCCGTACCCACTGTACATAAATGATGTTACAAGTGCAAATAAATGGTGATATAGTTCGGCTACATTCTCTGCGGCTTGGATAGTGATAAACAGGTTGAGTTCGTTTTAGTACATATTTCTTCTTCTTGCCTATGATACTTAAATATTCCTAGAAGTTGTATAGTACTGTATACAAATGTATTCAGTGTGAACTTGCAAAAACCACTTTTGAATCCAATAAAAAAAATTGAATTCATTTATTTGAACAAAATAATTTAGCACCCTCCTCTGGCCATGCAAAGAATGCAACTCTCATGTGCTTTAACACATTAACAATTGTGTTCATAGTCAAACAAGCAGCAAAGGGTCTGAATATTTAGGACCATGTGATATTTCAGTTTTTCTTTTTTAATAAATCTGCAAAAATGTCAACAATTCTGTGTTTTTCTGTCAATATGGGGTGCTGTGTGTACATTAATGAGGAAAAAAAATTAACTTAAATGATTTTAGCAAATGGCTGCAATATAACAAAGAGTGAAAAATTTAAGAGGGTCTGAATACTTTCCGTACCCACTGTACATAAATGATGTTACAAGTGCATATAAATGGTGATATAGTTCGGCTACATTCTCTGCGGCTTGGATAGTGATAAACAGGTTGAGTTCGTTTTAGTACATATTACTTCTTCTTGCCTATGATACTTAAATATTCCTAGAAGTTGTATAGTACTGTATACAAATGTATTCAGTGTGAACTTGCAAAAACCACTTTTGAATCCAATAAAAAAAATTGAATTCATTTATTTGAACAAAATAATTTAGCACCCTCCTCTGGCCATGCAAAGAATGCAACTCTCATGTGCTTTAACACATTAACAATTGTGTTCATAGTCAAACAAGCTTGTGCAACTTGAAGTGTTTACACTGACTTACTTGTATGCATATATTTTGGCCATATCACAGTTGAATTATTCACCCCGTCTGTCATCCAAAGCGCTTCGTGTGATATCAGCTGTGAAGAACCGCAGTTTAAAGGCCTCCCATAGAGACAGCAGAACAACAGAAAAAGCTGCACTTTTAATGTCTCGCCCTGTAATTTACCCACTGGTTATCATGAAATGTGGTGAGCTGGACACTTGTTCTTTATTAACAGTTAATTTGGGGCTGTTTCACTCCCAGCAGAAATCAGGGACTCGTCTCGGCAACTTGCTTCACGTGCTATTCTGTTTAATCTCGCTACGGCCATGACTGTTGCTGATACGGCTCGTCAACAGAAAGAGACAGAGATAAAGAGAGGCAGAGTGTGAGCAAACACTCCCATTAGTATGTGCAGAAGTAGAGGTCAAGGGTAAAGCGTTTGTATTCCCCATGCTGCGAGTCGATACGGTTCTAGAAACCTTAGCTTTTCTACTAAGGGCCACATGGAGACATGTCCAATCATAGCATCATCTCAAACCACCCCAGCATATTTGCAGCGTTGAGATTTTGCAATATTGAATATTGCAACCTGCCAGCCGAGCCCAAGGCCTAGTTATTATCATTAGATGTTTACGTTCCTCTGTTCTGGGAGGTTGCTCTTGCAGTTGGGATGTTATTAATTGGCCCATGTTGCTCAAATTAAAAGCACAGAAGCTGGTACGATAGCAGCCATGGAGCAATTTACTCAGCTGGGGGTCTGGCCAAGCAGATGGGCATCATAGTGTTGTATTCACATCCTCTTGGATTAAAGTGTCAGGATTGGCGTTTTATTTTGGGCTGTTCTGCACTGTTAACATACAGTAGTCCCCCTCCAGGAAGTTCTCTTTTTTTGCGCTGGGGTCAAAGGGGAGCCAGTCGAGTCATTCCACTCATTATTTAGGTTTTTGCACATTTCAGATTTTAATGTGAGCCCTCCCGCACGTCATTTACACATGGTCGTACTATCTCAAACTCTTTAAAGCCCACACTTATACAGGCAAAAATCCCTTAAAATTGGAATGCAGGCCGCAGAAAAATTCTTGTCCCAATCTGTTCTCAGCAGATGTCTCTTGCCAGACAATAGACCTGTTTTATACAGTAATGAGCAGAAAATCCTGCCTGCTTTGGCTACTCCGCTGCACAGGAATGTTTTTTTTCCCTTCCACTGAGGCTTTAATTAGTTGTTAGTGGAAACTCTTGTTGAAATAAAAGCAGCATTTAGTGTCCTCGTAATTCAAGGTGAAGATTACCCCTTGAGCACCTGCTATGGGTTAAATGCAAGTTAAAAAGCATAGAAATCCAAAGCAACTGAGTGATTTGAAGAGCATCAGAATGACTGTTCACTCTGTACTGTGGATGTGGTCGAGGAGGACAGGTTGATACTCGTGCTTCCATCATGCACGTGCCATAAATAGAATCAATGTTTTTGTTAAATATGACATGTTTCTAAATCAGCAGTGTTTGTCACATTGGTGCTATAAAAGATATTCCCATCAAAAGCAATTCGCTTTTCAAACAGTGCTTGAGTTATTTTTACCAGGGTTGTGTGAGAATGAAAATATTTATGTTCGACGTATCTGTTGCGGCAGAGATTTTAATAATAAATATTATATTATAATGTATAAAAATATATAATACATTGACCTCATAACAATGACTTCA